GCCGGAAGTGGCGCTGTGGCTCAAGTGGTAGAGTGCTAGCCTTGAGCTGAAGAGCTGAGGGACAGCGCCCAGGCCCAGAGTTCAGGCCCCACGATCGGACCCCCAAAAAAATAAAAACAAAAAACAGAAAGAGTGTGAGCATTCTGGGGGTGATAGTTGGGCCTCCAGGGAGGTGTTAGGAGAGAGGCCAGGAGACTAAGGGGCTTAGATTTCAGCAGAGATCTGGAGAAAACCCTAGGCCCTGCCAGGGGCTCTGGGCAGCTGGCAGCATGTCTCTCCCCTGGCTCAGGTCCACCTGCGCGTGCACAGCGGGGAGCGTCCATTCCAGTGTGCCCTGTGTCAGAAGAGCTTCACCCAGCTGGCTCACTTGCAGAAGCACCACTTGGTGCACACTGGGGAGCGGCCCCACCAATGCCTGGTGAGACCTCCCCCACTCCCTGCACACCTGCAGCCTGAGGACTTCTAGTTCCCTGGAGTTATACCACCTGACCTTCCAGTCCAATCCTTTTGAGCAAGTAGAGATGGACACAGAGGATAGAGAATAGTAGGGGAAAGTGTGTGTGTGGGAGAGGCGGGGGGCGGGGGAATTACCTTCCCTTCCATTTTGGGATGAATGATATTGGAGGAAGGAATAGATTCGTATGACTATGAACAGAAAAGAATGAACTTGAGGATCCCAAGGAATGTATACCCATTACTGACTGGCTTTTCAGGGTTCTCACAGGAGTTAAGAATGCAGCATATGCGAAGAACCTAAGTAGGAAAACCATTAGATCAGTAGAGACCTCCTTCTTGGAGCCTGACCTCATTTCGCAGGAGGTCAGAGAGCAGAGATTCTCTCTGTTTACAGGGGCAGAAATTAGAGCAGTGTAGTGGTTCTGTGTAGGCTATCGAATCAGAAGACTTGTGTGCAAATCTCAGCCTCTCCTCCAACTTGCTGTGTGACCTTTGACTAGTGGCATTACCCTCTGGCCTCAGCTTTTTCTCCATAATATAGAAATATAGACCTCCTGTGGAAGACTATGTGGTCCCCACCCCCAGATAATGCTGATTACACCCACTGATGCTGCAGCCTCAGAAGTAAAGGTTCTGTATGATGATCCCATTCAGTCTATCCTAACCATGAGGCTAGGAGTTAACAGTCATATGTTTTCAATAAGGCTCGGAGAGAAGTGACTTTTGTTTTTGTCAGTCTTGGGGCTTGAACTCAGGGCTTGGGCACTATCTCTGAGCTTGTTTTGCTCAAGGACAGCTACAGAGCTACTTCCAGTTTTTTTTTTTCCTGTGGATGTGGTACTGAGAAATGAAACTCAGGGCTTCATGCATGCTAGGCAAACACTCTACCTCTAAGCCACATTCCCCAGCCCTGAGAAGTGATTTCTATAAGGATACACAGAGTAAATGAAGGACATTAACCTGAGTCTGCTTGGCTCCTATGGGCCACATACTGTGATCCCAGGCAGAAATTACTAGGAAGAGCTTCCAGGCATGCATCTGATAGGGAATTGTATAGAGGAATGTGTTCAAGACACAGAGGGAGTGAGAGATGCTGAGCCGGCCCAGAGGGTAGAGTTGATGTGAGTGTCCATTCTAATCAGATGTGCCACAAGCGATTCAGCAGCTCCAGCAACCTCAAGACCCACCTGTGCCTGCACTGGAGGACCCAGCGTTTCCAGGGCGGCTTCTGCCCACATCGCTTTACCCAGCATAATCAGCTGACGGTGCACCATCAGCCGCATGCCTAGCGCGGCTAGCACAAACCCACCTGTCCCTGGAGTCTCTCGCCCAGTGGGACCAGGGAGCACTAGATCTTGTGGTAGCACCGTCAGAGCAGCAGCTGGGCTGGCATGTGGACAAGGTCCAGATGTCCTCTGTGTCTCAGGGAAAACAGCTAGCCTGAGCACTGGAGTCAGTGTCTTCCCAGGACTCCCCTGGGGAGAAGGGGTAAAGAGAAAGTAAAGGTTTTCCCCACTGCTGAGTTGGGATGTTCTGAGTCTCTGGGCAATTGATGATCCTTACACTTCGCCTGGATGCAGGTCTGGGGAAATGGCCTGGAAGAGTCTGTGTGTCAGATGGGAGCCTGCAGACATCTATCCCAGGCTGGATTTGGGTTCTTCTTCTGTATATGACCTATCTGGGACAGAGCTGTCCATCTGGTCTCCCCAGTGGACAGTCCTTCCAGGACTCTGCCATGTGCAGATTGTGCTGCCCAGGACAAGACACTTGGTCCATTCCCCTCCTCTCCCCTTTCCTCTTTCCTTCTCCCTCTGTGCCCCATCTTCCTTACTTCCTAGCTCCCTCCCTCCTCTCTCTCTGCTTCCCTCCCTCCTTCCTCCCTTCCTCCCTCCTTTCCTTTCCTTCCCTCTCTTTGTTTTCTGTTTTTTTTTCCAGTCCTGGGGATTGAACTCAAGGACTAGACACTGTCCCTGAGCTTCTTTTTGCTCCAGGCTAGCACTCTACCACTTGAGCCACGGCGCAACTTCTGGCTTTTTCTCTTTATGTGGTACTGAGGAATTGAACCCAGGACTTCATGAATACTAGGCACCACTAAGCCACATTCCCAGCCCTTTCTCTTTCTTTGCTTTTTGTCGGTTGTGGGGCCTGAACTCGGGGCCTGGGCACTCTTCCCCTAGCTCTTCAGCTCAAGGCTAGTGCTCAACCACTTGAGCCACAGCGCCACTTCACTTCTGGCTTTTTCTGTTTACATGGTGCTGAGGAATCGAACCCAGGGCCTCATGCATGCAAAGTAAGCACCCTACCACTGAGTCCCTTCCCCTTCTCCTACCCCTCCCTTTCCCTCCCCTTTCCTTCCTGCGGGTACTGCGCTGGTACTGCGGTTTGCTCTCAGGGCCTTGTCCCTCAGCTACTTCTGGTAAAGGCTGGAGCAACAGCTCCACCTCTGATGGCTGCGTCCCTGCATCGCAGGAGATGCCCTCAAATGCTCCAGGCATGCCGTGCTCCCAGCCTCCGTGGGAAGAACGCTGCCTGGGAGGCACGAGGCCAGGACGATTTTCAGCAGAGCGGCTGGGCTGGGTGCGTGAGGCCGCCTTCCGGCAGGGGGCGCCCGCCGCGCCTCTGCGGGTTTCGGAGCGGCCCCTCCATCTCGGCGCGGAACGACATTCCCGCTCTGTTTAAAGTGGCTCCAGGACACAGAACCCTCGCACTGAGCCCAGCACGGTCGGGCAATGACAGGTGGGCTTGGGTCCCACCAGCAACGAGGGCCAGCTTCCGAGCCCACCCTGGTCACCGCGTTACCGCGCTCGGCCGGTGAACCTAACAGGGCGGCCCCGCCCAGCCACCGAGACCACGCCCACCACCACGTCCCCGCCCCCGTAGCGAAGGCCCCGCCCCTTGCGCTGGGGCTCCCTCCGCTCAGCCCCGCCTCCCAGCCACACCCCCAAATCCAAACTCTTTGGGCAGCTTCGAGGTTGCGCTCACCCGTCAGCCTCTGGCTCGTTTCAGAGGCTTGGGGAAGCTGTGCGGACCAGACAGAGAGCAAGGAGATCGAGCGTGGAGCTGGGCGCCTGACTCCGACCGAGAGTCCTGGGCCAGCTGGCCAGGGTGGGAGCGGAACCCAGGGGAGACACCGTGTGCCGCGGGGCCTTGACCCCGCCCACAGCCGCGGGCGGGCGGCTGTTTGCACAGGGGAGGGCGGGCCGGAGGAGGTGCTTCTCCACCTGGGCAGCGGATCCGGGTGGCCCGTCGCCAACAAGTGTCCCTCAGTCCGAGCCCCAGGCCTGGATCTCGCCATGACTAAGCGGCGCAGGGGCCTGGGGGCCCGCCTGGCCCGACTCCTGGCTGGACTTGGGGTCCGAAAGGAGCGCAGGGGAATGGAGACCTCAGAGGTGGCCAGATCCCGGGATAGGTGAGGGGGGAATGAGAAAAGCCGGTGGGCTGCCCGGAGTGTAGGTGTGTGTGTGTGTGTGTGTGTGTGTGTGTGTGTGTTAGAATACAATGTGTTTAAATCAGCGTGTATGGGTACTTCTGAGCAACAACACATGTGGTTCAGTGTGAGATCTGTGAACTGTGGAAACTCCCTATGCTCTTTTAAGACCTTAATTTAAAAAAAATAATAATAATTTCCTAAGTCATGCCAGCGGCCTGTGGACAGTGTCCTCCCCAGAGACAGTTTAAAGGCAGATGGGGTAGTTCCTCCTTTGGCTGTGGACTTTGATTCTGACATCACAGGTCAATGTCCCTTTGGTCTTCACATCCGTTTGTCTTGAGTGACAGGTTCCGGACTTGTCTTGGATTGTGCTGTCTTTGCTCTTAGAAGCCGTGCTGAGATGCCTCCCTGTCATCTGCACCTACAGAAAAGCTGTAGACTGCAATAACAATAAAGCTTTATTTGCCACTTGCTTCGTGGTTACCTGGATTATTTCATGTAATCTTCATGGCAGCCCGATGAAGCGTGTATTTCCAGTGATTCACATCCGGAAATGGAGGTTCCGAGAGGTGAAGTCACCTGCCTGGAGTCACACAGTTGGAGGTGGTGGAGCTGGGGTACACATTTCCACAGTTTTACTCCAGAGCTCACATCCTGAAACTGTTGTTTGGCAAATGGCCAGACTTCAAGCTGGAAGGCTCAGGCTTGTAACCCCAGGTTCTCCTCTCTGGGTGACCTTCAGCAAGTTGCTTCACCCCTCTGAGTTTATCTGGGGTAGCTGATATCTGATTGGAAGGAAAGAAACTTCTCTGTGGATGGCTGAGCCCAATGGCCAGGAGTGGGATAGTAAGAATCTGAGAGGGCCCCAGTAGCTCCCAGTCCCTATGCAGGCAACGAATGTGGGTGTACTGTCAAGTGTGGGGTGTTTGTATGTCTACACTGTTACCAGGCAATTTGTTCTGATCTTATCATGACACAGCTGTCCTCAGCCTGCTGCCCCCAGGAGAGATGAGGGTGTGGAGGGGAATGAGGGGAGGGCTTTATACTACTCTCTCACCCTAAAGAGGGGAGGGCCTAGCCACTCCATGCCCTCGGGTGCCCACTCCCTGCCAGGGCCCTGCCCACCATCATCTGATAGACACACCCTCTGCCTTTACCCTGTCTGGCAGCAACCTGCCCTATAGGCCCAGCTGCCCTTCTCCCTCTCTCAACTCAGAGAGCCCCGGGCTTGGGGTACAGGTGAGGCAGGAGTAAGCAGAGCAGGGGAGAGGCTGCAGGGCCTGCGTGATGACACTTACCAGCTGTGGGAATGGGACCCCTAACCAAGGCCCGAGCCTCTGATTCCTGCTGTGCCCAGGGAGGGGACCTGAGGCAAGGCACTCACTGCCTTTGTGTTGTCCCTACTAGTGCAGTGGTGCCCAACCAATCACTGGAACGTGACAGTCGATCCTAACACTAGCTATGTGACTCTGAGCAAGTCACTTTGCTTTTCTGGGCCTCAGTTTTCTTACCTGGAAAATTGGGGACACTATATCCATCTGCTATGATTGTTATGAATCTTAAAATCCAGGTAGATGTCAGGAACAAGTGACTCATACCTATAATCCTCTCTACTTAGGAAGCTGAGAATTGTGGTTCAAAGCCAGTCCAGGTAGAAAAGTTCATGAGATTTTTTTTTGTCAGTCATGGGGCTTGAACTCTGGGCCTGGCACTGTCCTTGAGCTCTTCAGCTCAAGGTAAGTGTTCTACCACTTGAGCCACAGTGCCACTTCCGGTTTTCTGGTGGTTAATTGGAGATAAGAGTCTCGTGGATGTTCCTGCCTTGGCTGACTTTGAACGGAGATCCTCAGATCTCAGCCTCCTGAGCTGCTAGGATTACAGTCACGAGCCAATGGTGCCCAGCTTAGTTCATGAGATTCTTATCTCCAATTATCACCAAGAAGACAGAAATAGAGCTGTTTGGCTCAAGTGGTAGAATGCCAACATTGAGTGAAAAAGCTAAGGAATAGTGCCCAGGCCATGAGTTCAAGTCCCAGTACTGGCACATTGGCAAACACACACACACACACACACACTCATACACACACACATACACACACACAAAAATACAGGTAGGTACAAAGCATGGTGCTGGACTGGGAAGGTGGCTTAGTGGTAGAGTGTTTGCATCACATGCATGAGGCCCTGGGTTTGATTCCTCAATACCACATAAACAGAAAAGGCCAGAAGTGGCGCTGTGGCTCAAGTGGTAGAGTACAGCCTTGAGCTGAACAGATGAGGGACAGCGTCCAGGCCAAAGTTCAAGCTCCATGATGGGGGTGGGGTGGAGAGGAGAGAGTATGGTGCTAACTCTGACATCCAGGAGGCTTTCAGCAGACATGGTGCTATAAAGTCATTCAAACCTGTGTCCCTGCACTTTGACCCTGACACAGGCCCAGGCCCCATTATTTTAAAAAATGTTGTTTATTTACATTTTTGTTATTATTTTAAATAGTTGTACAAAGGAGTTTTGATTCATCATGTCAATTTATGAGGACAGTGCATTTAAAAAATTTTTATTTTATTGTTAAGCTGTGCAGAGGGGTTACAGTTACATGAGTAAGGCAATGAGACATTACTTGTCGATCATTGTTACCCCTTCGCTTGTCGTCCCACTGTCCCTTCCCTCCCCCCAGCACGGTGCATCTTGATCAATGTCTATCCCTTCTAAATTTGATTCTAGCTCACCTGTCTCTTTCTCTGCCTCCAGGAAGGAGGTAACCAGCCCAGGGAAAGAGCAGTAGAGGCTCACACTTCCCCAACTATTACAACTATTGCAACTATTACTGGAAGCGGTGGGGAGAGGGCTAGCGTCTAGGATGATGGCCGTGGGGAATGGAAGCTGCTCATTCTTTCTCTTTGCTTCTTTCTCAGGCCCTGGGGCGGCCAGAGCTGCCCTGACCTTGCCCAGAGCCATGACAACACCAGCAATGTCAACCTCCAGGTACGATGGAACCTAGAGGGAGTGAGAGCAGAAGCTCCGGAGGGCTGGGTAGGACTTTGGAATCCTGACTTTCAAGTCAGATGATGGGGGATGGGAAGGTGGTTCAGTGGTAGAGCGCTTGCCTTGCATGCATGGGGCCCTGGGTTCAATTCCTCAGCATCACATAAGCAAAAAGAAAAAAGCCGGAAGTGGCGCTGTGGCTCAAGTGGTAGAGTGCTAGCCTTGAGCTGAAGAGCTGAGGGACGGCGCCCAGGCCCAGAGTTCAGGCCCCACGACCGGACCCCCCCAAAAAAGCAAACCCTCAAGTCAGATGATGGACTGATCTTCCCTCTGTCACAGATTCCCTTGGTGACCTTAATATTCCCATCTGCAAAAAGGGCACAAGAATGCCTCTGGGGACCGTGGGGAGAAATGAAGTAATGGCTGCAAAACAGCCAGCATGAGGCCTGGGTAGTCAGCAAATGTGTACTTTGTAATTAATGCTAGTTTTCCTTGCTCCTGGCTTCCCCTTTTCACCACCTCCTTCATCTCTGTCTTTCCACCCTTCCTGACATGGCCCCTCAGAAGTGGATGCTGGGCCTGTGTCTTAACTGGTCACAGATTTCCCCCTCTGCCATGAGTCAAATGGTGACATCCTCTAGAAGAGGCTCAAGCAGGCTCAAGGTGGCTCCCTTTGGTCCCCAAAGCCACAATTGATCACTCATTGTTGGCATGGAATATCTCTTGAAGTTTGCACAGAACTCCAGGGAACACTCACAGGAAGGCTGAGATACATGGGACATTGCTATCACTGCTACTGCTGCTAGCAGAACTAGAATTGGGGCTCGGCTTGTCTCCATCTTGGTCTTCATGTGGACCATTCAGCTTCTGTGTCTCACCTGATGTCTGATCCCTGGAGAATGAGACACTGGATGTTTCATAGATGAGTCAATGAAAGTAATTGGCAGCTGGGCACCAGGGGTCCATACTTGTAATCCTCACTATTCATGAGGCTGAGATCTGAAAATCATGGTTTGAAGGCAGCTCAGCAGACAAATCCATGATACATTTTATGTCCACTGAGCCACCTTCCTGGACCTGGGTGCTGTCCCTGAATTCTTCAGCTCAAGGCTAGCGCTCTACCATTTGAATCCCAGCGCCACTTCCAACTTTTTCTGCTTATGTGGTACTGAGGAATTGAACTCAGGGCCTCATGCATGCAAGGCAAGCAATCTACCACTGAGCCACCTTCCCAGCCCACAGTTTATGTCCAATTAACCAGGAAAAAAAAAAAAAAAACAGAGATGGAGGTGAAGGTATGGTTCAAGTGGTACAGTGCTAGCCTTGAATGAAAAAGGCCCTGAATTCAGGTCCCAGGACCAGCATGTGTGTGTGTGTGTGTGCGCGCGCGCAGAGTGATTGGGATTCAAGGCCCTTCCTGGCAAAAGAGAATTTTGTCCCCACATTTGGCTACTCATGCCAAGGACACAAGCCCATCCCTGAAAAGTAGTTTGGGGAACCAATGTTATTTGGGTGTGGCATCTTGAGCCACTCCCTCATGCCCACAGCTAGGCTGGACCCCAGGGAAGAGAGCAGGTGTATTTCAGATGTCCTAATGTCAGGTGCCCCCTAGTCCCTGCGTCTTTCATGCATGTCTCCAGATTTTATGTCTATGCTCAGGGGCCTCCTTCCAGCTGTGTCTTGAGAATTTTAGGCAGGGAAGATGCAAGACAGGATGCAGGCCCTCTGGTGGCTTGGAGAGGCAGAGCACAGACACTTGAACCAGGCAGGTCCCTGTAGCCCCTGATTCCCAGAGCAAATGATGCTAAAAGGTGCTATGAAAGCAGCAATGGGCCTTCCAGGAAGGCTGAGATGGCAGGCTGGAAAGACACAGCCAGGCCCTGGAGGCCGGATGGTGCCTGGGAGGTGGGGGCTCTCACTGTCCTGCCGGGTGGTCATCCCCCTGTGGTCTCTGGGCCTCACTTTCCTCATGTGCAGGAGGGGAGGGGGTAGGGAATGCCAAAGGGCCAGAGTCCTGCGCCTTTGTCCATTCAGCTCTCCTTGCAGCAAGGAGCCAGCCATGGGCATCCAGAGTTTTCTAGAGAGTTTGAGGGAGCTACATCAGCACCATGTTTCTGCCTCTCTTACCAGGTCCAAACCCAGAGCCAGTCAGAATGGGATCTTCGGCTCGGGATTCAGAATCGAGGACACAGCTCACCAAGACCCACTCAGCCCTTGGGGCGCCTACAGAGGCCAGCGGTGGGCAGTGCCTGGGACCTGGCCTACTATGCCTCCCTGGGGCCCCACAGCCTGACTCCACCCGCGGCCCCAGACCAGCCTGCTCACCTCTCCTGCCCAGAACTGGCTCCTCAACGTTTGGAACAGGGACCCCCAAGTCCCACCAGTCAGAGGACCCTCCCTACAGCACCCGAAGTCCCTCAGAGTCCCGGGCTACCAGGCCACCTGGAAGACGCGCCCCTGCCACCCCGCCCGCCAGCCTTCCCCAGGGCAGAAGGAGCAAAGGGCGAGCCTGACACCCCAGGGCCAGCGCCCTCAGAGCCAGCCCGGACCCTACACACGTGTTCCTCTGCCAGGAGGGTCCGCTACCACCTCACTGTCACCCTGCAGGGGTGTGAGCAGCTGCCGGGGGAGGAGGGCCGAGAACCGGCCCAACCAGCTCCCCACCTCTGCAGCCCTGAGGAATCCAGGGGCTGGCAAGAGCCTCCCCAAGGGCCCCGCCCCATCCCGGGCTGCCCAGCCAACCCAGCCCGGGATCCCCGGCTGAGAGCCCCACGGTTTCAGGAGAGTGAGGCCCAGCGGCAGGAGCTCCAGGCAGGCTGGAGAGCTAAGGCCACCGGTAGTGGGTGAGTAGTGGTTAGCCCAGGGGCTGTGATGGTGGGAGGGGATCCTGGTGTGGTCACCCCCTCTCGGGTCTGTCCAGCCATTCATTTGGCACCTTGAGTGTAAGCTGGCTCTGCTACTCCTCCTGCTTCGCTTCCTCTTCCTTTCTCTATTCGAAAACCATCTCCTAGAACCCGCTGGTACCCTCCTCCCCTGCCTGCCCTAGCAGGAAAATCTCATCCCAGAATGGACAGATGGGGGACAGGGAGGTCACCTTTTCTTCAGCCACAACCCCCCACTCCCCAGATCTGTTTCAGCCTGGGAACAGGCACCTAGCCAAGGTGCTGGGTGTCCTGGGGCAAGTTGCTTAACTTCTCTGAGCCCTGAGTTGTTGAGTGGATTTGGTAGCTGGAGATGAGGAAGAAGGAGGTAGTTAAAAGAACATGCTTTGAACTCCAGAGAGTTGAGCTGCCAAAATAGCAGGGATGCTTATTAATTACACCTCCGTGGCAGCAGTAATTATCCTACCTGGCTCTGTGCTGGTGGCTACAGGAAGAGGTGCTAAGATTCCCAAGCCTGGTTGTTTTTGTTTGTTTGTTTGTTTTGGTCAGTCCTGGGACTTCAACTCAGGGCTGGGTGCTGTCCCTGAGCTTTTTTGCTCAAGGCTAACGCTCTTACACTGGACCCACAGCTCCACTTCCAGCTTTTTGGGATTAATTGGAGATAAGAGTCTTACAGACTTTCCTGGCCCTGACTGGCTTCGAACCATAGTCCTCACTCTCAGCCTCCTGCGTAGCTAGGATTACAGGTGTGAGCCACTGGTGTCTAGTTTAAGCCTATGTTGAAATGACTCTTCTACATCTGCTTAGAGGGCTCATGGGGAGATATGGATCCCTCAAACCTCAGTGAAGAGGGTTCACATGGGAGCACCCAAAATCCACGGGCCCCAGGTGGAGCGCTGAGGAGTTTCTAATGGTGTTGCCGATGGCTGTTCTCTGTGCTTTGTTTACTATACAGAATGTGATTGAATCCTCAAAATAGTCCCATCATCTGATTATAGAGGGGAAAACTAAAGTCCTGTCACCCAAGAGTCAACCATGAAAGAGTTAGAATTTGAACCCAGATTTCTACAACTCCAGAACCTGTTCTCTAACCCTCTTTTTGTCCTTTTCACAAGAACTCCTCTTTGGCCCTGTGCAGAGAGTGGGGCACTGCGGATGGTTGCTGCGTGGGGCCCGCAGGGCTTGGAACACTGTGGCATGGGGTTGGAGCACTGTTAACTGAGACGGGCAGGGATGCCCTGGCACTCTGGGCAAAAGTCAGTGTGCCTAGTCCTGTGCCAAGGAAGGGGGAGATACTGGGCCTAGACTGTCCCTAGACCTGCATGAGACAGGGGAGGTGCAGAGCAGGAGGGCTAGCCTTGGAGAGGGTGCAGGGAAAGAGCAGTAGTCTGAGCTAGAATGATACAGGGCACCCAATGCCACTCCTTGGCTATTTGTATGTGTAGGGGGAGGGGCTACTGGGGCTTGACCTCAGGGTCTGGGCACTGTCCCCTTTTTTTTATGGGTAACGGGACTTGAACTCTGGGCCTGGGAGCTGTCCCTCAGCTCAAGGTGAGCGCTCTACCTCTTGAGCCACAGTGCCACTTCAGGTTTTCTGGTGGTTTATTAGACTTCCTGCCCGGGCTGGCTTTGAACCCCAATCCTCAGATCTCAGCCTCCTGAGTAGCTGGGATTACAGGCGTGAGCCACCAGTGCCCAGCTCCCTGAGCTTCTTTTGCTCAAGGCTAGCATTCTACCACTTGAGCCACAAAGCCACTTCTAGCTTTTTCTGTTTATGTGGTACTGAGGAATCAAATTCAGGGCTACATGCATGCTAGGCAAAAACTCTACCACTAAGTCACATTCCCAGCCTTGTTTTTTGTTTTTGTTTTTTTGACTCAAGGCTAGTACCCTACCAGTTGAGCCACAGCTCTACTTCTGACTTTTTGCTGAATAGTTGGAGATAAGAGTTTCTTCAATGTATCTGCCTCAACTGGCTTTGAACCATGATCCTCAGATCTCAGCCTCTTAGGTACCTAGGATTATAGGTATGTGCCACTGACACCCAGCTTTCCTGCCTACTTTTTCCTGACTGCCTATGGTTGGGGTCTCTAGGCCAGAGTTGACAAGAAGGCGTGGAGCCCAGCTGGAGCTACACGGAGGGATGTGTAAGGCCTGTGTGCCTCCCTGTGCTCGTGTTGTCATAGGAATGAGAGCTCATGGTTGCACTGGGAATGTGTGCACACGTGTGCCTTTGGGTGTGTGTGTTTCTGTCTGTCTGTTGTATCTCTGTATGTTTGTCTCGGTGTCTGTGTGTGCTTCTGGCTGGGTTTGTCTGTGTGTTTTTGTGCTGGGTGACTGTGGGTCTGGGACTTGAGTGAGCCTGTGTAACGCAGCATGGACTTGCTAGCATGTAAGCTTGTGGACTGGTTTGGCCTAGTTTGGGGGTGACTCACAGGTAAACGGGGAGAATGCAGGACTTGTTGAGTTAGACAAGACTTTTCCCACACTTCCCCCCCCTTTCCCCGCCCCCCCAGCCCTGCCCTTCCATTCTCAGCCTCACACACCTTATTTAGAGGTCATAGGTCACCATGCCTGCAAATCCACTTCTGGTCTGGGGCCCAAGAGAAGGAAGGCTTGCTTCTACGTGGTGGGGATTGGCAGCTGGGTTACTGGGGTGTGTCTCCAAAGCAAGGGCAAAAGCAGGGAGCTTGTAGGCAGGCAGGGTTCAGCCTAGCTGGCAACACATTCTAGTAGTCGCAACTGTCCAGGGATGGGATGGGTGAACTGACAAGTGGTGACCTCCTTGTCCCTAGAAGTATGCAAGCAGAAGCGGTGAGCACACGCCTGTGGAATGAGTGACCGTCAGGGGTGTTGTCCCCAGATGGGCTGGGCTGGGCTGGGCTGAGCAGGGCATGGAATTGATTGCCAGGAGTTGAGCTGTTTCTTCGGAACTGATCACCCACAGCTTCCTTTGAGGCTGCTTTGCCTGGCTGCTTCTTTATCCTTCAACTCCTAGGATGCCTTCGATGGGAGACGGCTGGCTTGGGGTGAGTCTCACCAGGGCCCAGTACATTGCTTGGCACTGTGAGCTCTGGATGAGTGGGTGAATGAGCAGGTTAGAGTCCAGGCATTGCCGGTTACCATCAACACTGTCAGAAACGGGGAATCCCCAGGTAGCTATTGCTGTGATTACTCAGGACTGGAGAGGGGCCTCAGTGGGGAGGACAGGGAGGAGCAAAGCTCCAGGTAAGGGAGACGCACTGAGGATGACATGGAAGAAGGTGACTCCTTAGGGAGGACAGGTGGGGTCAGGGTCACAGTGAGGGGTGTCTGAGTACATCCATTCCCAGCAGGCCCTGTCCTGGGGGAACAGTAGACTCTCAGTCTCTCCTTTTCCATATACAGGCCGTCCATCTGAGGCCCTAACCCAGGTGTCTTCATAGTCCCCAGTGGTTGTGGAGTCCAGCCAGGCTTCTCAGGGCCTCAGTCCCTTTCATCTCTGCCCCTCATAAAACCTGAGTCACTGCTGAGGCCACAGGACAGGGCCAAAGTTCTGGGTTCCACCGGCTTTTCCGGGGGGCAGGAAGGCAGAGAGACGAGAGGTGAGTTGGAGCAATGGGTCCTTTTCTGCTCTAGGTATGGCCTCTGAGGGCGGCTTCATAGAAAGGAGCTGCAGGCCTGAAGCAGGCCAGCCCCTACACTGGCAAGGGACGAAGAGGACCCCTTCTGGGATCCAAGGGTCTGAAAACAGGCTTGCCATGGTTAGGATTGCCTGGAGATCAAAAGGTGAGGGTGGGGGGCACCTTTGTGCAGGAGTCTCCTTTAAGAGTAACCCCCAGAGGAGACACTCCGTCTACTAGATGAATCTATCAGGTAGTTTAGAATGCTGGTTAAGCACTTGGGGTTTAAGTCTTTTTTTTTTTTTTTTTTTTGTCAGTGGTGGGGCTTGAACTCAGGACTGGGCGCTGTCCCTGAGCTCTTTTGGTGAAGGCTAGTGCTCTAACATGGTTACTGTGTCTGAACAAATTTCCTCTCCTTTCTGAGCCTTTTCAAATCTCATTGGCAGAATAGGAACGTTTGCTTAGCAACAACTAGATTGTGTGTGTGTGCTTGTGCCTGTGCCTATGTGTGTGTGTGTGCGTGCGTGTGTGTGTGCGTGTGTGCGTGCGTGTGTGTGCGTGCGTGTGTGTGTGCGTGCGTGTGTGTGTGTGTGTGTGTGTGTGAGATGGTACTAGGACTTGAATATAGGGTCTTGAGCTCTCCCTTAACTTTTTTTTTTTCTTTAATGGTTGTAGGGCTTGAACTCAGGGCCTGGGCACTGTCCCTGAGCTTCTTTTGCTCAAGGCTAGACCCCTACCACTTGAGCCACAGCGCTACTTTTGGCTTTTTCTGTGCATGTGGTACTGAGGAATTGAATCCAGGGCTTCATTCATGCTAAGCAAGCACTCTACCACTAAGCCACATTCCCAGGCCATACTTCCAGTTTTAAGTGGTTAATTGTAGATAAGAGTCTCAAAGTGACTTTTCTGCTTAGGCTGGCTTCAAACTGTGATCCTAAGATCTCAGCCTCCTGAGTAGCTAGGATTACAGGCATGAGCCACTGCTACCCAGCTTCTCTTAGCTTTCCTTCCTTCCTTCCTTCCTCCTTCCCTCCCTCCCTCTTCCTCCCTCCCTCCCTCCCTCTCTCTCCCCCTCTCTTTCTCTTTCTTTCTTTCTCTCTTTCTCTTTCTTTCTCTCTTTCTTTCTCTTTCTTTCTTTCTTTCTTTCATCAAGGCTGGTACCCTACCACTGGAGTCACACCTCAACTTCTGGCATTTTTGGTGGTTAATTGGAGATAAAAGTTTCCTATAGAGCTGGGAATGTGGCTTAGTGGTAGAGTGCTTACCTAGCATGCATGAAGCTCTGGGTTTGATTCCTCAGCACCACATACACAGAAAAAGCCAGAAGTGACGCTGTGGCTCAAGTGGTAGAGCAAAAGGAGCACAGGGACAGTACCTAGGCCACGAGTCACTGAGTACAAGCTCCAGGACTGGCAAAAAAAAAAAAAAAGTTTCCTATAGTTTTCTGGCCAGGCTAGCTTTAAACTGGGATCCTCAGATCTCAGCCTCTTGAATAGCTAGGCATCAGTCGCTGGTGCCTGGCTAGCAACAGCAACAGCATATTTATGAAGTCTCAGGAATCATGGGATTCTTCTAAGAGTTCAACAGAACAGTGAATTAAAGCACTTAGCAAGGTGTTGTAAGAGCTCAGCATTGGCCTCTTGCTTCCATAGTTACTATTTAAAACACAGAATTTCAACAGAGTTCCTTGAGTGTGTGGAAGGCTGGTTAGGTAGGAGTTGTTTGTTTCCCCCACTTAGTATAAGAGGTTATAGACACCCAAGAGGTCAGAAAAGAAATAAGACAGGGCCACACCCCTGGAGGAAAGAAGGGAAGAAATGCTGGGCCAAAGAGGATCATGGGAGCAACAAGATGTGGCCTGAACCCCCACCTAACTTGGAGGAGATGAGATGTCCATGTCTGGATTCAGAAGATGGAACTCCATGTAATCCTACCTACTCAGGAAGCTGAGATGTGGGGATCGCAGTTCAAAACTAACCCAGGCAGGAAAGTCCATGAGACTTTTATCTCCAATTAAGCAGCAAAAGCTGGAGGTGGAGTAGTGGTTCAAGCGGTAGAGCACCAGCCTTGAGTGAAAAGTGAAGGGACAGCACCCGTGACTGTGTTCAAGTCTCAGGACCTGCCAACAACACACAGACGATGCAGGGTTAAACCTCAGCATGGCAACCTAGTGGCTGCATCACCCTGAACCAGCCATTCCCCTTCCCTGAAGCTCAATTTCTTCCTCTGTTCAATGCATGGGAAGTAATGATTTTGGAGGAAAGTTAAGCAGAAGTGCATCATAAGGCCCACCGTGCTGTGTCCAGGGTTCCAATGAGACCCACAGAGGCACATGAGCATACCCTCTGCTCTGGCATTGTCACCAGCTCCTCCTGCATGTGCAGATGTGTACATACCTCCTCGCATCTGCTCACAAATCCCTAAGGTGACCTGGGAAGTTCACCTGACTTGTTTTGTTTAGCTGGAGTCTCACTTCCTTTTTTTTAACCATAGCTGGCCTTCAACCACAATTGTCTCTTCCTTCCTTCCTTCCTTCCTTTCTTTCTTTCTTTCTTTCTTTCTTTCTTTCTTTCTTTCTTTCTTTCTTTCTTTCTTTCTTTCTTTCTTTCTTTCTTTCTTTTTTCTTTCTTTCTGTCATAGGGCTTGAGCTCTGGGCCCGGGCACTGTCCCTCAGCTCTTCATCTCAAGGCTAGTGCTCTACCACTTGAGCCACAGTGCCACTTCTGGCTTTTTCTGTTTATGTGGGGCTGAGGAGTCGAACTCAGGGCCTCATGCATGCGAGGCAAGCACTCTACCACCGAGCCACTTTTTCAGCCTATAATTGTCTGTTTCTTTGTCTCCTGTACAAGGTACTTAGTTTTCAAGCTTTTGGCTCCTAGAGCACTGGACCCAGGACACATGGGTGGGGGCCCAGAGCCTTCCAAAGCCAGTGAACCAATATAACTTTCTTAGTACTCTCACCATTTCTGTCCTTCCAGCGTCCAACCTCAGCTCCACTCTTTCAAGGACTCGAGGGAGTCACCTTGCGGGTGGGAGAGGAGTGGGCAAGGGGCTCTGATTGAAATCAGAGTTTTGAATCTCAAGTCCATGTTGCAGGTCAGGACATAAAAGCCTGCAGGTCAAGCAATTTGTCCGAGCTTCCCCTGCCCAGCTGTGGCAGGGCGCTTGATCTCTCTGAGCCTTGATTTTTCTGAGCCTTGATCTCTCTGAGCCTTTATCACCTCACCCTCTGATGCTCTCTTCTCCCCTCCAGGGAGTTGGATCACAGTGAGACAAGGACCCTACAGGGCAGGTTGTCGGGGCCCAATATGGAGGAAACAGCTGGGCCCCCTGCCCGGGCTGAGGCCCGAGTGGTCAGTGCCACATTGACTTGGCGGCAGCGGCCTCCAGCCCAGGAAGAGACCAGACATCGTTTTCACAAGGTGTCCCTGGTGTCAGGCTCCCAGACAGATGCTTCCCAGGAGGTGTTAGAACACAGCTTCCGGCGAGAAGAGATCAATGGCTTTGCTACTCAAGAGGAAGAGACAATGAATTACCAGGGCCCTCGGGACGAGGCTGGCTCCTTGCACTTCCAGAGTCACGGGCCTATCTTTTCCAAGAAGTACACACTGCCCCCCAAGGACAAAAGGCCAGTGGGGAGGTTGAAGGAAGCCAGGGACTGGAGCAATAGCAGCCTCCAGGCTCCCAGGAATGAGTCAGTAGGCCCAGGAGCCATGGCTAGGACGGAGCTGTTGGTGCCTCTTCCTGGGCCCCGGGAGCCCAGCCCTCACCCAGGCGTAGGAATCACAAGTGGGAGCCCCCGAAACCACGAGGAATGGCGAGTGACACGCACAGTGCGGACCACCACCATCATAGGAGGTCATGTGGATCATCGCAGCTCTGTGACCGTGGGGCCCACGCTGCCCGGTGAGGCCCTGTCAAGAGGCCGCAATGTGACCCGCACGGTTCGGGCAGTGGTGGTGAGCCCTGGAACGGAGGGCTCACCCAGCCGCCGCCAGGCCCTGGAGCTGCTCAGCAGCCTTGTGCCTGCTGAGCGCAACCCCCCTGCCAGCCGCATCCCCAGGCCCACCAGTGGAGCACCACGGAGCTCCGCCCTGGGTGGCACTGTGGGCACAGGCCTGGGGCAGCTGCCTGAGGCCAGGACAGCAGAGCCAAAGGACAGTTCAACCCTGACCCCTGCCAGTATCCCAGGGGGTGCTCACCCATCTCCAAACCAGGACATCCCTTCAGTGGGCCCAGCCCATGACAATGACCTGGATGCCAGGGTCAATGAGCCCCCAAGGAGACAGGGAGCCTTCAACCCCACCTTGCCTTCTCTCCAGACCCAAACATCAGCACCCTCTCCACCCAGACCCAAGACTCATGCGCCCTCCTTGGACCTGGCCCATCCCCCAGAGCAGCCTGTGCTACCCACCCACCCCAGGACCCAGCCCACCCCCCATGCCCTGCCTGAGGTAAAAAGAGACAGATTGAGCAATAGCCCTGCTGCCCCCACCCTGCCCAGGGTGAGCCAGGTACTTACAGAGTCTGTACAAGCTCCTGCGCCATCTTCTCTAAAGAAAAACACTGTGCCTAGCCCAGGAGCCCTTTCTGTTCCCAGCTCCTCCATGAGCAAATCTGTTCAGGACTCGGAACATGGGCCTGTTGCTGGCCTTCCTCAGAAAGAGGCACTTCAGGGCCCTGTTCCTGCTGCACCGCTCCTTACCCAGAAAGAGGCTTTGCAGGGCCCTGATGCTCCTGCTGCCCCGTGCTCCAAGCCAGCTGAGGTCATCCAGGTCCCTGAAGACAGCCCTGTCCCTTCCCTTCCCCAGGAAGAGACTGGGCAAAGCCCAGCTGTCCCTGTTCCCCTGTCCCCCAAACAGAATGAAGCTGTCCAGGGTTCTGAAGGGAGCCCTTCCTCTTCTTCCGCCCCAGAAGAGGGGGTCCAGAGCCATGCCGTTCCATTCACCCCATCTTCCTCCATGGAGGAGGTGTTCCCTAGCCCAGATGGCCTGCCTGTCCCAGCACCAATGGGAGCAGAGGTCAGCCTGGAGTCGCAGATTGTCCCCAGCCCAAGTGAAGATCAGGTGCTCCCAGAGCCATCGAGGGAGGAGGATGAGGTGGCCCTGGCTGCTGACCTGGAGATTTTTCTGGATACCCTGAGGAGCATGGAGCCCCCTGAGATCCTCCGCACGCACCGGCTGCCCCGACCCCCCCGCTCCTCCTACCTGGCCATGTACGCTACATTGCCTGCCATCGAAGAGGACCAGCCTGGGCCGTGGGTACTGGGACCAGGTCCCCAGGAGGTGCCCTTGCTGGAAGAGGAGGAGGAGGAGGAAGAGGAGCCAGAAAACCCCTACCTGAGTGATGATGAGAAACTCCAGCGTAGGCAGGAGAAAGCAGATCCCAGCGCTTCCAAGGACCCCCGTCCTGCCAAACCTGCCCAGATCTCTTGCTCACCTCTGGACATGATGAAAAAACATGTAGCCGGCACCAAAGGCCCCCAAGCAGAGCCAGGGCTGGAACTACAAGCCAACAACCGTCCTTCCTCCCGTCTGGGAGGCAGCCTTCTCTTTGGCAATATGATGTCAGCCACCAAGGAGGCCCCTACCCTTGAGCCACTGGGTGCCAAATTATCTGCTATGCCACCTCCTGGGGCACCGGGGCTTAGGAAGGGGCCAGGACACTTGTCCCTGCTTTGTAGCAGAAGGCCACCACCAGAGAAGCCAGCCCAGACCCAGCCCCCAGAGCGATGGGTGAGTGAAGACTTAAGCAAGGGGGAATGCTTGGTTTTGCTAGGTTCCAAGGTAGGATGGTGACAGAATGATTCTGTCAGTCCAAGTCTCTGGAGGTAGGAGGTTTGGGTCTGAGGTCTAGCTCGGGTGCAGTCCCTATCTTCCTGCGTCTGTTTCCCCATTTGTACTGCAGGAGGTTTTCAATGAGTATTTCAAAGGGCTTGGTGGCTCCCATATCCTAGAAGCTGGGGAAAGGGACTCACAAGGGTCTAGCTCCTAGGACAAGATGGTAAGGCCCTGGGGGAGGGGGGGGCTGAAACAAGGGCAGCATCTGTCCTTTAAGAGCTGACTCCTAGCTGGGCACCGGTGATTCACACCTGTAATCCTAGCTACTCAGGAGGCTGAGATCTGAGGATTGAGGTTCAAAGCCAGCCTGGGCAAGAAAGTCTGTGAGACTCTTATTTCCCATGAATCACCGGAAAGCTGGAAGTGCTGCTGTGACTCAAGTGGTAGAGCATTAGCCTTGAGCTGCAGAGCTCAGGGACAGTGCCCAGGCCCTGAGTTCAAGCCCCATGACTGACAAAAAAAGAGCTAGCTATTGGGGATGAAGACCACTAGGAGGGATGGGAGGTCCTTGCATTGGCAGGAGTGGAGAGGCAGTGAGGAGGTGACCCCCATAAGACTCCTAATCATCACCCTCTCTGTTCTAGAGCCCAGCCTTGAAGATCCAGGGCAAGCTGAACACCAGGCCCGGAAAGGTAGGAACATGAGGGCAAGTGGTAGGAATTCCGGGGGAGGGGAGATTCTGGGGACAGGGGGTGAGGATATCTGTTGTACTTTCTCAGCTGATCCTCTTCTCCGAGCCTGGGTGCCAGGGCCACAGCAGGGAGATCTGGGGAGACACGGCTGATGCCTCAGCCTGGGCCCACATTGCTTCCATAAGGGTGGTTCGAGGCTGGTGAGTGGGGAGTGCCCCGTGTGTGTGTGTGTGTAACCCTGGGGGTACAGAGGGCAGTGAGTGTGGTGCAAACCATATTAGCTACCTGGAGACCATGGGTACAGCCTCCTCATATGACCCGGCGGTCTCCGTGCTCCCAGCTGGATGCTGTACGAACAACCAGAGTTCCGGGGCCGGAAGCTGGTCCTGCCTGAAGGTGATGTGGAGCTCAGAGCCCCAGTCTGGGCCAGCCAAGGCATCGGCTCCCTGAGGCGGATCGTCCAGGTGAGTGGCTGTGGTGGGAGCAGATGTTACCCCATCTGCCCTGAGACTTGGGCCCTAGGAGGGGAACAACCTTACATCCCTCTAGTGAGAAGCTCATGGGCTCAGGCGGGGCAGAAGGTGGTTATTATGGACTGGCATTGTAGACAGGGAGGGTCACACAGCACCCAGCTGCCATGGAGCTACTTCATGCACTTGTTCATAGACAGCTACTCAAGTCTACTTGGCCCTGCGGGACACAGCGCCAGCTGAGCTCTGAGAGCTGGCTCAACCCAGGAGAGCAGACTGAGAATCTATGAGCCTCTCTCTGGCTGCCTGGGGAAGGGAAACCAAGAAGGTGGGTGTCCCAGGCCAGTGACACCTCTAATTCTTAAGTTTATGTTACATTTTCTTATGTAGAAAGTGAAAAACAACAGCATTATTTTTTGTTTGTTTGCCAGTCCTGGGGCTTGAACTCAGGGCCTGAGCACTGTCCCTGAGCTTCTTCTGCTCAAGGCTAGCACTCTACCACTTGAGCCACAGCCACTTCTGGCTTTTTCTTTTTTTTTGGGGGGGGTCCAGTCGTGGGGCCTGAACTCTGGGCCTGGGCGCTGTCCCTCAGCTCTTCAGCTCAAGGCTAGCGCTCTACCACTTGAGCCACAGTGCCACTTCCAGCTTTTTTCTTTTTGTTTATGTGGTGCTGAGGAATGGAACCCAGGGCCTCATGCATGCGAGGCAAGCACTCTACCACTGAGCGGCTTCCCAGCCCTTGTTGGTATTTTCAATGAGAGGATGTGTAACTGAGTCTGAGGCTGTTGCAATCTCCCTGCTAAGACGGTGAGGCTCAGGTAGGATGAGGGCTCAGGAGGAGGGGAGGGCCATTTGCAAAGGCTCTCCAGAAACCACACAAATGTTTGTGGACAGTTTATTAGGGTGAAACAGTAAGTTCATCCTCATATAAGGTGATGATGTACAAGAGAAAAACAAGACCTCTGAGGTTAGACAGTTCTAGAATCATTTGATTCAGTCAGCACTGAGTGGGCACCTACTATTGCCAGTCATGTAGGAGGTGCTGGGTTGCAACACTGAACAAAAACTCCATTGCTTTATTTTTGGCTCTGCTACTTAGAACCTGTGTGACTCTCTGAGCCAAAACTTCCACATTTGTAAATGTACTGCTAACACCCACTGGGATAGCCCATGACCTTAGAACTCAGTAGATGCTTCATAATCATTTGACGAACAAGTGAGTGAATGAAATAGTCCTAATGAGGAAGAAACACCCAGAATGCAGAAACTTCATGAATCAGTCGAAGGCAGTCTAGAGCCTGGGGTGTGGCTAACATCCACGAGGCCCTGGGCTCCATCCACACAGCACTAAAGCAAATAAACAGAAAAATCCCCAAATGCCATTCTGAACAGAGGCGGTCCTTGTACATATGGCCGTCGGTCTTCCCACCCCTCCACCGGGCAGGAAGCCAGGCCACACATAGGCAAGGGAAGGGCATGATGCTTTGCCAGGTACTCCTTTGAACGTGTGGTCTCAGGTCTCGCAGGTCTAGTAGGGACTGTGAAGCGCTTTGAAAACCCCCAGCCACCCTCCTGGGTCTCTGTGGAGACAACTGGAAAGCCCTGGCTGGGGCAGGGTAGTCACCAAGAAGTCCTGGTTTACAGGTCCCTGCTTCTCCTCTTGCAGGACTACTGCACCCCAGAGATCAGCTTGTTCTCTGAGGTGGGCCTCACTGGGGAGCAAGTGAAATTCACAGAAGCCTTGAAGGATTCACAGAGCCTGGAGAACCCCCTGAAGGTGACCTCTGCCATTGTCTCCGCTGGACTGTGAGTCTAGGCTATTCTGGAAGTCTTTCACTTAACATTCATTGTACTGGGAGACAAAGAAGTAACAGGACCTGGTTCCTGACCTCGCACGTGCTCAGTCTGCCTGGAGTAGGGTGGTGGTTCCTGCCTGTAGTCCCAACACGCTGGAGGCTGAGGCAGGAAGATCTCAAGTTTGAGTCCATTGAGGCCACCGTAGGCTACATAGCACTCTGGGCTATGTAGCAAGACCCTATCTCAAAACAAAAACAATAACAAAACAAAAGTGAACAAGCAAGTGAACAGATAATTACAACCTGAGTTCTGGGATAGGAGAGGGCAGGACTGTGGAACACAGAAAAGCACCAGAAGAAGGTATGGAGCAGGAAGGGTGGTCAAAGAGGCCTTCCTGGAGGAAGAGATACCTCAGCTGCAATGAGTTGTCTGAGGGTATAAGCTCCATAGCAGGGCACTGGTGGCTCACACTTGTATTCAAAGTACTCAAGAGGCTGAGACTTGGAGAAGCACAGTTTGGAGCTAGCCCAGTGTTGGAGGAGAGGCATGGCTCAACTTGTAGGCTTTCAGCCATGGCCAAGAAAACTGAGTGACAGCATGAAGGCCTGAGTTCAAGCTATGGTCTTGGCACCAAGACAGAAGGAAAGAAATTTAAGGTCTATGAGGACAGGAATTTATGTTTTGTTCAGTACCATATCCCTGATGTCCAGAGCAGTCTGGCCCAAAGGAGATGCTCCTAAATATTTGTTTATTGATTATGAGGAAAAGAGTGTATCCAGCAAAGGTAACTGCATATGCAAAGGCCCATGAGAGATGTAATCTTCAGAAGTTCAGTCTGGAAGTTGGTGATGTTGTTCGGGGGTGGGGGTATATACTTAGCAGATATAAGGTCCTTGACTTAGTCCCTAGCACCACAAATAAAAAGTCTAGCTTTGCTAACATAAGCAGCAAGTAAGTAGCTATGAGTCCAAGAGGAAGGGAGATCCTGGGCCTCTGTGTAGCCATTCTTCATTGTGAGGTTAAGAGGCAACTAGATTGTGTGTGTGTGTGTGTGTGTGTGTGTATTGGTAATGAGGCTTGAAGTCAGGGCCTGGGCATTGTGAATTAACTTTTTCTTTTCTTTCCTCTTCCTCCTCCTCCTTTTCCTTCTCCTCCTGTTCCTCCTCCTCCTCCTGCTGTTCCTCCTCCTCTTCTTTCTGGGTCCTGGTCTTGAACTCAGGGCCTGAGCACTGTCTCTGAGCTTCTTTTGCTCAAGGCTAGCATTCTACCACTTGAGCTACAGCGCCACTTCCAGCTTTTTCTGTTTATGTGGTACTGAGGAATCAAACCCAGGGCTTCATGCATGCTAGGCAAGCACTCTACCACTGAGCCACTTTCCCAGCCCATGACTTAGCTTTTCTGCTTAAGGCTAGTACTTGAGCACTTGAGCCATACCTCCACCTCAGGCCTTTTGCTGGCTAATTAGAGGGAAGAGTCTCACAGACTTTCCTGCCTAGGCTGACTTAGAAATTTGATCCTCAGCTCTCAGCTTCCTGAGTAGCTAGGATTACAGGCGTGAGCCACCGGTGCCTGGTCCAACAGGGGGTTTGTAAGTGGTTATGTGTATGGGGAAGAACTCTCCAGCAGCTGTGTGAAACTGGAGGAAAGGAATGGCTACTATGAGAGGACATAGGGCTGAAATATCCTCTTGAGTGTCTTTGGGCAAGTTCTCTCCCAAACCTCCCGGGATCCTCCTCTACTGTTCTACCTTGGAGTCTAAGGTACAGTGGCCTTTCTACTTCCCCTAGGTGGCTGCTATACCCTAAACCATTCTTTGAAGATGCTCCCTACATCCTGGAGCCTGGAGAGTACCCCACCTTGGAAGCCTGGGGCACATCGGACTCCAGGGTGGGCTCCCTAAAGCCTATGAAATTGGTAAGGAGTAGGACATACCTACAGGCCTCTCTGCCCTGAGTCCCAGGGGACGTGGCCCTACATATGTATGCAGGAGAGGAAAAATAAGTGTAGAACGGAATGCTTTGGTATCCCCTGGGAACTTCTACTGGGAATGGGGCTGGAGGAGAGGGAGGATATAGGTCACCCATTTTTAGTGGTCTCATGGTCAAGAAGTTCTATCTGTCTTCCTCACCTCTGGACTGGTGTCTCAAAAATCTCTCCTTGGGCTGGGAAGGTGGCTCAGTGGTAAGCGCTCTTCTTGCATGCATGAGGCCCTGGGTTCGATTCCTCAGCACCACATAAGCAGAAAAAAAAAGCCGGAAGTGGTGCTATGGCTCAAGTGGTAGCACGCTAGCCTTGAGCTGAAGAGCTGAGGGATAGGGTCCAGGCCCAGAGTTCAGGCCCCACGACTGGACCAAAAAATAAAAAAAATAAAAATAAAAAAAATTAAAAAATCTCTCTTCTGCAGGGTTGTCCAAGTGTGGAGAAGCCTGGGGAGCCCAAGGTAAGGGCCTGGGCTTCAGGATCGGAGAGTGTCTTTGTGTGTTGTGGTGGTTGGGGTGGCGGTATGGTACCCTGGGGTGGAAGGCAAGGAGCAGGCAGGAGGAGGGGCCCAGAAGCTGGGTCTAGGAGGGTAGACCTAAAAGCCTTACTAGAAAATAGCTTTTGGTGTGTAAGAACCAGGCCAGAAGTGGTGACAGGAATTAGGCACAGGGAGGGAGCTCTGTGAGAGGGTGGGGATTCTTGGGGGAGCTCCTGGCTCATGCTGGGTAGACTGACTTTTGGGCTGGTTAGGTGTTTTTGAGTCCAGATGACACCCCATCGATCTGATATCTTTTCCCCAGGCTGTGGTGTATGAAGCCCCAGGTTTTCAGGGCCGGAGCTGGGAAGTAAGCAGAGACATCTACAACCTTCAACAGCCAGAGGACAGCCAGAGCCCCAATCTGGCCTCTGTGGGGTCCCTACGAATTCTTGGGGGCTGGTGAGGACTTAGCATGATTCCTTTTACCTCATTGTCCCTGCTGCTTTACCCTTAGGGTGGAGAGTAAGCTAGACTGTCTGGGGTCAGAGCAGTTGTTTTAACCATAGGCTTCCTGTGACTTCATCTGTCTGTCTGTCCATCCTCCCTTTGCCTCCAGCTGGGTGGGGTACGAGAAGGAGGGCTTCCGGGGCCACCAGTACCTGCTGGAGGAGGGTGAATATGCCGACTGGTCACAGTGGGGTGGCTATGATGAGCTGCTGACCTCCCTGCGGGTCATCCGGACGGTAAGCAAGGGCAGATGGACTGACTGCCTCTGGACCTCCCCAGTCTGTGGGAAGAATGTGTACCCCTTTTCTAGTTCTCCCAGGAAGTGCTTGCTCTCTGAGGGCTGGTCTCTCCCCCTCCCCGGTGGGTTCTCTGGAATCTGGATATTCCTGGTGGTTTCCATCTAACTGTCCCTGGGGCCCAGGACTTCGGGGACCCGGCCGTGGTGCTGTTTGAGGCCATGGACTTCGAGGGGCGCGGCGTGGAGGTGAGCTCCTCACTGCCCGACGTGGAGCTCGTAGGGCACGGGCCACGCACACAGGCCATCCACGTGCTCAGCGGCGTGTGAGTGACGGGGCTGGGGCACTGCGTGGGCCTGGCAGGAGTTGGGTCGGTGCCGGGACCGGCCCTGGCTCCGCCCCCGCCAACCCGAGTCCCCGCCCTTCCTGCAGGTGGGTGGCCTACGAGCAGGTGGGCTTCTCCGGGGAGCAGTACGTGCTGGAGAAGGGCGTGTACCGCAACTGTGATGACTGGGGCTCGGGCAACAGCGCCCTCGCCTCGCTGCAGCCAGTCTTGCAGGTGCACACAGGCTTGTGGGCGGAGTCGGGTGGGAGGGCGGGGCGGGCCGGCACGCAGGACTCATTGGACGAGGCTGTCGAGGGCGGGGCCGCAAGAGGGGCGGGTCTCACTGAGGAGGGACAGTATTTCGCGGAGGGGGCGTAGCAGACGGGCCACGAGCTCGTGGGGGCGGGGCTCTTGGAAGGGGCGGGCCCATAGGGGGCGTGGCTAGCATCTGCCTGCACAATCCGAGAACTGTGTGGTTTTGAAACCTTATCGATGAATCGCGTCATCCTGACCCTCCTTGAGTCTTGAACCGGGTCCTTTCTCTTCAGGTTGGGGAGCATGACCTGCACTTTGTCTCAAAGGTAAGGAAGCGATCCCACAAGGGGCTGGTGGCGCCCACATCCTCTTCCCTCATTTAAAAGCTCCTCCTCCCTCCTCCATTCCCTCTGCCCTGTCCCATGACCCCCCCTTCCCTCCCGCCAGATTCAACTTTTCTCCGGGCCCGACTTCTTGGGCGATCACATCTCCTTCGAGGATGACCAGGCTTCTCTGCCTCCCTCCTTCCAACCCCAGTCCTGTCGTGTGCATGGTGCCAGGTGAGGAGAGGAGGTGGGGCTCAGGGTGTGCTTGGGGGTGAGGGTGGAGGTGGGGGGCACCTTGTGGATGCTTGAGAGTGTTCTGTCCCTAGTCATTCCATTTTATTTAACTTTATTTTTTCCATATGTTCACATAATGTACTTCGATAAAATTTACACCCTCCAGTCCTTTCCTGTGTGTAGCTGAAGACCGAACTCAGAGCTTTGCATTCAAGTGCTGAGCCTGCATGAGCTAAATCCCAGCCTCCCACTCTAGTAGTCTGTACCCCCATTCCCCTACTTTTTAAACAACTTTTGTGTGTTTATATGTGTGCCTACCCTGAGGCTTGATCTCAGAGCCTGGGTGCTGTTCCTGAGCTTTATTGCTCAAGGTTAGCACTCTACCACTTAAGCCACAGCCCCACTTCCAATTTTTTGACAGTTAATTGGAGACAAAAGTCTCCTACACTTTCTTGCTCAGGCTGGCTTTGAGCTGTGATGCTCAGATTTCAGCCTCCTGAGTAGGAAGGATTACAGGCATGACCTACCAGCTCCCAATCTTGTTGCTGTTTTCTTTTTCTTTTCTTTCTTTTTTTTTTTTTGCTGATCCTGGGACTTGAACTCAGGGCCTGGGTGCTGTTCCTGAGCCTCTTTGTGCTCTAGCTAGTGTTCTACCACTTAAGCCACAGAACCATTTCCAGCTCTTTCTGATTGGAGATAAGATTCTCATGGAGGGGCTGGGAAGGTGGCTCAGTGGTAGAGCGCTTACCTTGCATGCCTGAGGCTCTGGGTTCGATTCCTCAGCACCACATAAGCAAAAAGAAAAAAGCCGGAAGTGGCGCTGTGGCTCAAGGGCTAGAGAGCTAGCCTTGAGCTGAAGAGCTGAGGGACAGCGCCCAGGCCCAGAGTTCAGGCCCCACAACCGGACCCAAAAAAAAAAAAGATTATCATGGACTTTTCTGCCTGGGCTGGGTTCAAACTGTGATCCTTCAATCTCAGCTTCCTGAGTAGTTAGGATTGCAAGCATACATGAGCCTCCAACACCTAGCTTTTATTTTTCCTTTTGTATTGGGGAGGGAACACATGTCATTGCACTTGCTAGTCAAGCACATTGTCGCTGAGCTACATCCCAGCCTGTTACTGTTCTTTTTTTTTTGGTCAGTCTTGGGGCCTGAACTCTGGGCCTGGGCGCTGTCCCTCAGCTCTTCAGCTCAAGGCTAGTGCTCTCCCACTTGAGCCACAGCACCACCTCCGGCTTTTTCTGCTTATGTGGTGCTGAGGAATTGAACCCAGGGCCTCATGCATGCAAGGCAAGCACTCACTGAGCCACCTTCCCAGCCCTGTTCTTTCATATGCTCAAATGATCCACCTTTGGCTTAATGGGAACACCCTCAGGTTGTTATGGGGTCCTTTTGATCTGACCCCAAAAGTTTTGGGAATTTCCTTGTTTTTCTACCCATGGACCACTTTGTATATTTCTTGCCCCAATGAGCCACTTCCTAAGGAACTCTGGTTCCTCCCAGTGGAAGTAGTATGTGAAGATAAAAGTCTGTATGCAGCCGGGCACCGGTGACTCATGCCTGTAATCCTAGATACTCAGGAGGCTGAGATCTGAGGATCACGGTTCAAAGCCAGCCCGGGCAGGAAAGCCTGTGAGACTCTTATCTCCAATAGACCACTAGAAAACCGAAGTGGCGCTGTGGCTCAAGCAATAGAGTGCTTGCCTTGAGCTGAAGAGCGCAGGGACAGTGCCCAAGCCCAGAGTTCAAGCCCCACAATCCCCCCCCCCAAAAAAAAGTCTGTATGCTAGTTATAATAGCAGTATTTGTATGAACAATAGAAACCATTGAAAGCTCTTTGAGGTTTCTTTGTGGTTCTTTCTGTCTTTAAGGTATTCACTTACATCTCATTACATATACATTATTCATATGTATATATGGGGCTGGGATGGTGGCTCAGTGGTAGAGTGCTTGCCTTGCATGCATGAGGCTCTGGGTTCTATTCCTTAGCACCACATAAGCAGAAAAATCCAGAAGTGGTGCTGTGGCTCAAGTGTTAGAGCGCTAGCCTTGAGTTGAAGAGTTCAGGGACAGCTCCCAGGCCCAGAGCTCAGGCCCCATGACCGACCCCCCCCAAAAAAAAAGTAGTATGTACAGACATTTGAAATCATCTTCATTTTTGAATGGCTATCACCAACTTAGAATACAATTAGATTGATTGATTAATTTCTTTTTTTTTGCTAGTCCTAGAGCTTGAACTCAGGGCTTGGGCACTGTTCCTGAGCCTCCTTGTGCTCAAGGCTAGCACTCTACCACTTGAACCACAGCACCACTTCTGGCTTTTTCTGTTTATGTGCTACTGAGGATGGGCAATCTTTATTTTTATGAATTAGTTGTACAAAGGGGTTTCAATTTCAGAAGTCAGATTATGAGTCCAATGCATCTTGGTCAGTGTCACCCCTTCCAGTGTTCTCCCCCATCTTTCCCCAGCCCATCCTTGCCCTCCAGGTCAATTTATGACCTGGTTTTTGAAGGATGTCTTTGAGATAGACTCCTAGCTATGCTGAGTAGCTACGCAGTGTGTTGCTTCATATTGCTGAATTCTCCTACTGGAGCAATAGGATTTCTTCCCTGCTGCTGCTCATTCTGGGCCTCCCCTCCTGGCTGTCAGGGTGTGCAGCATGCTAGGGTGACTGCCCACCTTCCTCCACTCTTCCCCTCTGAAGCTGGATCCTGTTTGATGAGCCGAATTTCGAGGGAGAACAGCACATTGTCTCTGAGGGCGAGTTCCCCACTCTCACTGCCATGGGCTGCCTGGCCTCCACAGCTCTGGGCTCTCTCCGGAAAGTCCCTTTGGTGAGTCCCCCAATTCAGTGCAATCCCAGATCCTGCTGGGGGAGTCCTGGGCACAAAGTCTTGTCTTCCCTAAGGGGCCTGGCAGGGGCTAAACACAGTCTTTCTCAGATTCCCCGGATGTCCTGGACTTTGTGGCGTACTGGACAGTTCAGCTTTTAGGTTTATGGAGGATCCGCTGAGATAGATCTGGGGACACAGCTCTGCCATCAAGAAACCCAGGGTCCGCACAGACCTCAAGGTTACAGTGCAGACTGGGGTGTGCAGATGAGAGGTACTATGGGGACAGGGCAAGCTGACACTCAGTGTGTGCTCACCACCAAGAATACCTAGGGGATGTTGTGTGCAAGAAGAGGCATCAGGATCTACTAGGAAGATGGCCCCCAGCAGGTGTGGATTGGGAGGGAACGGCAAGGCAGGTGGCGGGAAGGCTGCCTCAGTGATGGAGAAGGAGCAGTGAAGTCTGGGACCAGGAAAGAGTTAGACAAAAGTGACCCCAGCCCTACTGGAGGACTGGGTAACTAAGGAGGGATCAGCAGTAGAACAGCTGATGTTGGGTTAAGCACAGAGAAAGCAAGCATAGGCCCCCCCAAGTACCAAGGCCTCACACTCTTACCACACCCCTGCAAATGTGCTACCATGGCTAGATGTGGAAACTGAGGCACATAGCTGCTCCCCCTCCCCCCACTCCATAACTTGCTCCAAGTTATATCACTGGAAACAGTTAGAACTGGCTCTGCAGTCTGTGTCCCTTACTGCCACGGGCTGGGTTCTAAGGACAGACAGATGAAGGTCTGAAACTTAAGGACAGACAGATGAGGGTCTGAAGCTCAGCTTTGGGGCTTTGAATAAACAGGTTCATCTTCTCTGTCCATTTCCCCTTTGTTGAAAGGGGGTCATAGCAGGGCACTGGTGGCTCACAACTGTAATCCTAGCTACTTAGGAGGCTGAGATCTGGGGAATCACAGTTTGAATCCAGCCCAGATAAGAAAGTCCCTGAGACTTTTGCCTCCAATTAACCATCTGAAAACTGGAAGTGGAGCTGTGACTAACCTGGAGCAAAAAGAGCTCAGGGACAGTGCCTAGGCCCTGAGTTCAAGTCCCTTGACTGCCACCAACAGCAACAACAACCAAAAAAAGATGGAGGGAGAGGGGGAGTCATGATAGCATCCACCTTACAGAGTTGTTGACTTATAATGAGGGCAGGTAGAGCACTTGGCCCAGGATCTGACATGCAGTGAGCCCGGGAAATGAGCATCACTGCTGTTATCTGTGTTATTATACATTGTGAGGATGGAAGGGGGGGGGAATATAGAAAGAACTGTAAGTTTCTGGCCTGGTCGTTCATATTTATTTTTGTTTTTATGCCTGTACTGGGGCTTGAACTCTGGTCCTGAGTGCTATCCCTTAGCTTTTCACTCAAAGCTGTCACTCTAGCACTTGAACCACAACACTACTTCCAGCTTTTTGCTGGGTAATTGGCGATGAGTCTCCACAGACTTTCTTGCCTGGGCTGGCTTTGAACGCTGATCCTCAAGATTTCAGCCTCCTGAGTAAGTAGGGTTACAGGTGTAAGCCACGGGCCATTAATGCTTGGAAATGCCATTTACCAGAGAAGATGTTTGTGGGAAAGTTGGGGCCCAGTCTGTCCCCAGCTTGGACTGGATAGAGAATCTGGGGATGGTGCACTGGCAGTGAACAGTCTCAGGAGCCATGTAGGTCCTCAGGACGCACGTGGGAGTCCATGTGTTGGGCCTGGGGCTCTCCTGGCCTCACCCCTCCTCTACCCTGCCCTAGCACTTTTCAGAGCCTGCCATTTTCCTGTATGGCCTGGAGTGCTTTGAAGGGAAGGAGATCGAGCTCCGAGGGGAAGTGCGGAGTCTGCAGGCCGAGGGCTTCAACAACCACGTGCTGTCCGTGCGGATCAAGGGGGGCGTGTGAGTGGGGCTGCGGGGGTGGGGGTAGGAGCATGAGGGAGGCAGGGGCTGCTGGTGGGGAGAGAGGGGTACATGCAGACTGGGCAGAGTCTCTTCCTCTTGGGGCCTGGACTTCAGCCCCATGGGTTTCTGAGTCCCCACTTTGCCCTGCAAACCCCATATCTATTTTCCAGCCTCCTCCTCGCCTCCCACCCCACTCCAACCCTGGGATCCTGGGCCCAGCATGAGAGAGAGGAGGTGGAGATTATTTTTTTGGGGGGAGCAGGGGGGGACAGTCGTGGGGCTTGAACTCTGGGCCTGGGCGCTGTCCCTGAGCTCTTCAGCTCAAGGCTAGCACTCTACCACTTGAGCCACAGCGCCACTTCCAGTTTTCTGATGGTTCATTGGAGATAAGAATCTCACGAACTTTCCTGCCTGGGCTGGCTTTGAATCGTGATTCTCAGATCTCAGCCTCCTGAGTAGCTAGGATTACAGGCGTGAGCCCCCGGGCCCGCCCGGCTGAGAACATTATTCTGACATTTGTGTCTCCTTCTCTTCTGTCTGTCTGTCTGTCTTCTTCTCTGTGTCCTTGGCACCTGCCAAGTGCAGCTGGGTACTGTGTGAGCACAGTGACTTCCGGGGCCGCCAGTGGCTGGTGGGCAGCTGTGAGATCACCAACTGGCTGACGTACAGTGGCACACAAAGGGTGGGCTCCCTCTACCCCATCAAGCAGGTGGGTGGCACATCGGGGTGGCCGTGCCTGGCTGCGCCTGTCCCTGGGTGTGAATGTCTGGGAGGGAGTGTTTGGGTGCTTTTGCCACAAAAGTGGGGTTCATTGTCTAATCAGGCCTGACCCTGCCTAGCTTGTAAGACCAGACAAGACTCAGTGCAATCAGTGATATGGCTATACACAGTTTTCTCTAAATCAACTTGCTCTGTGTGTGTGTGTGTGTGTGTGTGTGTACGCACGCGCGCGCGTGTGCATGCCAGCCTTGAGATTTGAACTCAGGGTCTTGAGGCTTGAACTCAGGGTCTGAGCATTGTTCCTGAGCTTATTTGTTCAAGACTAATGCTCTACCACTTGAGCCACAGCTCTACTTCCAGCTTTTGGATGGTTAATTAGAGATAAGAGTCTCTTGAATTTGTCTGCCTGGACTAGCTTTGAACCTCGATCTTCAGATCTTAGCCTCCAACTAGTAAAGATTATAGGTGTGAGGCACCAGTGCCTGGCTTTACTTCGTACTTTTTGCTTATGTGGTGCTGAGGAATCGAACCCAGGGCCTTGAGCATGCAAGGCAAGCGCTCTACCACTGAGCCACCTTCCCAGCCCAGGAATAATATCCTTTAACCCATGGGTTTGTTACCTATGTATGTAGGTTTTTCCACACAGGACTGAGAATTTTCTCCCATGTTTGGTAGGAAGCATAGCTGACTTTTCTGGGCTCTGTACATGAAAGCTTGCAAGAACATCCAGGCTTGGCCATGCGTGGGTCTAGTTACCACACGCATGCGATTTTGGGGTGGCAAAGCTGTGGGATCTGTGTATGTGTACCTGCACATGGGTGTGCCCATCTGTGGGTATGCATTGTCTTTGTGAGTGCTTGTACACACGTCGGGGCCCCTGTTGAGTGGGGGTTTGTGTGTGAGGCTGTTTGTACAGTCCCCATTCACAGACTCTTATATAGCTGGAAGGAACCCTGGAGATTAGCTCCAACCCTCACATTTTACAAATGGGGAAATAGAGGCCCAGACAAGTGGACAAGGATTTGCTCTGCAATCTTGGGCAAGTATTGTCCCTCCACAGACCTCCATTTCCTGATCTTTAAAATGGGGAGAACATATAGATTCATGGGTTTATCTGAGGCCTGGAGACCTGGAATGTGGGGGAACCTTTGGACCAGGGCTTGAATGGGAAGCACTCAGCCCATATTAGCTGTGATTTTCTTTTATATGGTCCTGAGGCTTCTTTTACTCAAGGCTAGCACTCTACACTTGAGCCACAGCACCACTTCTGGCTTGTTCTAAGTAGTTTATTGGGGATAAGAATCTCATGGACTGGGGCTGGGAAGGTGGCTCAGTGGTAGAGCACTTGCCTTGCATGCATGAGGCCCTGGGTTCAATTCCCCAGCACCACATAAGCAAAAA